CGCTCTCTTCTCTCCGACGACCCCTTCTCTCTCACACACGTCTCATTCGCTCCGGTTAAATGGTGCTTGTATTGCGCATTATTTTAGTCATTCGCTTACACCAAAAGCGCGTGCACCAGAACTGATCTATATTAGTGGAGTGCACAAGCCGCGGTCAGTCTCAAACAGCTTGTGAAGTTCTTAGAAAGAAAATCGGAATCGGCAAATATCGGTATCGGCAGATCACACTAACGAGAAATCGGAATCGGCCAAGAAAATTGCAATCGGTGCATCTCTAGTTTAATAGGTCTATGACAGGGCTGTCCGATCCTGCTTCCTTCCTCAAGCTCAAACACAACTTCCTGCAAGTTTTTAGAGATCCTGAAGAGTTTGACTAGCTGGTTCAGGTGTGTTTAATTGGGGGCTGGAGCTAAATTGTCCTTAAATTGTCCCTCCAGGAGCAGGATTGGACACTTCGTGAACTTTTAGACCAGTGTTTCCTAACCCTGTTCCTGGAAGAACCCCAACACTCTTAAAAATAAAGGTGCTTCAAAAGGTTCTTCAAGCGATGCCATAGAAGAACCATTTTTGGTTCCACAAAGAACCATTCAGTCGAAGGTTCTTTAAAGAACCATCTCTTTCTTACCTTCTTATAATCTGAAGAACCTTCTTTCGCCACAAAACCCCTTTTGTGAAACGGAAAGGTTCTTCAAATGTTAAAGGTTCTTTATGGAACCATTTAGACAAAAAGGTTCTTCTATGGCATCACTGTGAAGCACCTTTGTTTTTAAGAGTGAAGACAAACACATCAGCTCCAGGACTTAAAATGGCACATCCAAAATGTGTACTGCTGGGGTTCCTTCAGGAACAGGGTTGTTCTAGGCAGTATAGCATTTTGTTTGATGGATGTTGACTGTGAGAGCTGACATTTCCAGCAGAGCTGAAGTCAAATTGACGTCCTCCAGAACCTACAAGAGACCTCTTAAGACCCAGAACAACACTGTTTGGTCCATGTACCATATTAATGAACTCAAACCCGAGTCACTTTGATGTAGGGGTGTGCGATATTTATCATCTACGATAATATTGTAATTGTTGTTTTAACGATGTGCGAGCTGACATTATCGATCATGTCGCTCAATTTGGAAAAAAAGCAAACAAAAACACATCTTGAGAGTCCAGAAGCATTGACTATGTGATGAAGCCTGTTAGAATGCAGTTAAAATGCCCCAATAATTCAAGTTATGAAAGCCAAAAAATATCCCTGCATTGGTTTTGGTTTTTGTAAGATATGATATAGTTTAGTAATGTCACGCAAGCAAGAATGCTGCTTTCCCGAATATCAGCCATCGTGAATGTGTGATATTGATTTTATACAACAAGATAATATTGAGTGGATTACATTGTAGACGCAATATTTGTATTTATTTATTTTTGCCAACAAAAGAGCTCCAAACAAAGCTGGAGCTGAACATTTGTGCATCTCAGAGTGACACTTCGTTCCTGAGCGAATCTGTTTTTGAATGAATCATTTGAGTCGGTGATTTGAAGCAAATGAGTCATTTGCCTCGTTTCTAAATAAATCAGCCGTTTTGTTCAAATCGTTTGAATGGTTGATTCAGTGAATCACTCATTAAGAAAAGGATTTGCCACCACCTACTAGTGGTTTTAGTGTCATATTAATTTATCAATGACAGGTCTAAACCAGCCACAGTACTAGGACAAAAGCACACTCAGCAAAAAAATATTGAGATATAATGTTTTCGTCAATATCACACACCCCTGCTTTGATGCTACTGAGGTTGTAGTGCCAGATCGAAGACTTAATTATGCATTTTGTTTTTGACAGGTTCTTGACAATTATGAGCGAGACGGTTTCCAGTTCCTGGCCGAGGTCTTCAACTCATCGCATTCGTTCCTGGAGGATCTGACCGGCTTGACTTTACTCCATCAGGAGACTCAGGCGGCTGAGGTTAGACTCTTCATCACCCTTTGTGTGCATTCATTATTAAATGATCAGATCCATTTACACACGTACACGCTGAAATATACACAGATGGTTATAGATGAAAGAGCCTGTAACCGCTAGTCCACACAAGGTTCAGGATCAGACTGATTGTTTGGAGATGAGTGAATGATGAATGATCTGTTCACTAGCAGCTCAGACTAGAAAGCTTATGGCACATTGAAGAAATCTGATCCGGCTGATGCTTTTAAAAAGAAAAAGAGGATCTCCATTGAAGCATTCAGTTTCTGTCTGCCTGACATATGGTGTACACACACACACACACTCACTCACACACACACACACACACACACACACTCACACACACACACACACACTCACACACACACACACACACTCACACACACACTCTCACACACACACACACACTCACACACACTCACACACACACTCACACACACTCACACTCACACACACTCACACACACACACACACACACACTCACACTCTCACACACACACACACTCACACACACACTCTCACACACACACACACACTCACACACACTCACACACACACTCACACACACTCACACTCACACACACTCACACACACACACACACACACACTCACACTCTCACACACACACACACTCACACACACACTCTCACACACACACACACACTCACACACACTCACACACACACTCACACACACTCACACTCACACACACTCACACACACACACACACACACACTCACACTCTCACACACACACACACTCACACACACACTCTCACACACACACACACACTCACACACACTCACACACACACTCACACACACTCACACTCACACACACTCACACACACACACACACACACACTCACACTTACACTCACACACACACACACACACACACAACACACTCACACACACACGATCCAGAGCACAAAAGTCACATCAAACATGGGCAGTCAAGCCTCAGACCGGCGTATCTGATCGCTAATATTCAATATCTGTCTCTAAGTTCATGAATATATTGCAGCAACATCAGTCAGTAGTATCTTTGCAAAGTGGAGTGCAAACGGTAAAAGGTCTTGAGGCAGGTGTGACGCTCTCTATTACGGATTAAAAGTGTAAGTGAGTGTAAACAGTGAGAGATGCTGAGACAGGTGAAAAGCGTTTGGTTAATAGTGAATATTGACCTATTGTGCGTACCGTTGTGGCTCCCGCTGTTAGCAGGGGATAATCGCTACATTTGGGGTAAAAAAGACAGAATTATGTATTGTCCCAAGAAGGTTGCACTGTCTGTTCGTTCACACAGGTACGAAACTGATTGGTAGCTGCCTTTAGCGGAGCCTTTACCGATTACCTACATTGATCAGAGCATTCGGCACGGTCGTCTGTGTGACGTCACCTCCCAACACAAACACGCCCCCTAGTATAGTCCCGCCCCTGACGATGATTGGCAGCTTTCCATGTAGACATCGGAAATTCAAATGCAAAAGGAATTGCGATTCCATTTGAGTTTTGGCAGGTTACATGCGCGACGCAGAGAGAGTGAAAAAGCAAATGTGGTGATTAATATTGCTATTTAAATATGACAGGCTCCAACCCTCTACATTGCGAGTAAATCACTCGCATATGCGATTAATCTTCACTATGGGCGACTAAATTATGTCTAATATTAGCCAATGGCTAATAAATTCTCAGATTTTACTCGCCAGTGTGTGAGTTGGAGGCTGAGTATATGA